CCCCCCCCCGGTAGGAGACGAATCATGACGCTAAAATGTAGCAGAACCATCTTCTGCATCCTCTGGACAGGGTTTCCAGAGATGTGTTCAGGAGGACGGCCTGTATGTGTCTGCAGGCATTTACCTCCATATGTTTGTTGGTCCCAGGGTCCCTGAGAAAGAACAGAGTTCCTAAGAGGTGGGGACTCTTAGTGCAGACTTTTGGGGATGAGAGTCCGCTACCTACCAGTTGTGCGGTTTTAAATCACAGATACGTGATTTGACAGCTCTCCATGTGTGCAAGGAGTTTGAAAATGATCTGTACCCAGGGTGTTGCTGAGAGGGTGAACTGAGGGCCTAGTGCCAGGCAGGCACCTGGAGAGCCCCCCAGACACAGTCTCCCCGCCGCAGTCGGGCCTGGCAGGCTGGAGTGGACGCGCACTCCCCTCACGGCCACACGGGAGATCTCTTCCTATGAACGATGGCGGGAGGCATGGGGGCCTCATGAACCAGCCTTGGGCCCCGTCTGTAAGTTGTTCCCTGGCCTCTGTTGAAGCGTGGAGAGGAGAGGACAGTTGTCCAGGACAGTGTGTTTGCCAGACCTGTGAGAGCAAAGCAGAAGTCGAGGCTTCTGGGGATGTGGGGTTCTTCACAGAGAGTTTCATTTCATATTTCTTGCCACAGGTTTTGCCTGGGCTAGACTGTACCATTGGTCTGATCAGAAAATTTTGGATGACTTGTCTTGGGATTCTAAGAATAAGAGTTTCATATCCCTTGAACATTTACAGCTATATGCAGTACTGTGTCTATTGGCTCTGGTTGGCCCTACCTAGTGGATGACATAATTTGAAAAAGTTCTCTGTGTGACTTGAACTTATTGATCTCTTGCAATGGAGACTCAAGATTTCACAGGTATGGTGGAACATAGTAAATATGTCTGGGATTGAACCCAGGGGTGCTTGACCACAGAGCCACATCCCCAGCCCTTTTTATTTTTTATGTTCAGACAGGGTCTTGATGAGTTGCTTGGAGGCTAGCTACGTTGCTGAGGCTGGCTTTGAACTCATGATCCTCCTGCTTCAGCCTCCTGAGCTGTTGGGATCACAGGCAAGCGCCCCTGCACCCAGCTAAACATGTGTCTTTTTCTTTGCTTCAGCATGGGACAAAAACTTTTAATTTTTATGTACAAGACTTTAATCTACACAATTAATTGCAAATTTCCCTACAGCCCCAAATCCATTATGTTGATGAAAGTTTGAAGTAGTTTCACTTTAAACAAGGAAAATTCTGTACCAGATGATTTCATCATGAGAAAACTGGAAATCACATTTTGGCCAGGTTTCAAAATGTCAGAGTGTGAGAACCTTGCAAAAGAGGAATGGATGACTAACGGTGTCCTCTTGGCAGCCATGGAAGCACATTCCTTTAAATGTGAGAGTTTCAAAGTGTGCACTTTGGTGAGTGAGTTGGGGTCCTCCTGGGCTCCCTGCTTGAGGAGGGCTTTGCTCTTGAGGGATATGGGAAGTGCTAGGTACAGCAGCGAGGGCCACTCCTTGGGCCACAGGGTCTGGGCTCAACTGCTCTACAGGTCTTAGAACTCTTGTGACCTTGGGCAGCTTTTTACTCTCCCTGTGAACCAGTTGCCTTCTCTTTAGAGTGGACATAAAAAACAATGTCTGCTTTATGGAGTCATTCAGAGAACATTTATCACGGGCTTAGAAAAATGCCTATCATATGGTAGGAGTCCTGTAATTTTTTTTTTTAAATTAAATCAAGTTGGAATACCTGTACACCTTTGGGGGTACTCACAAAAGATGGGAGGAGTCGAAGAAGATACAGTGAGAGCACCCAGAAACTAGGAGCCTGCCAACAGGCTCTAGGGGAGTGTAGTCAATGTCCATAACAGCACAGAGGCTGGGCTGTGGCGTTGATGACATTGTCTCATTCAGTCCTCTGAATAGTCCCCAGAGACTGGGTCCCCCTTGGAGGTGAGAAATTGGAGACCAGAAGGTAAGTGGTTTTCCCAGTGCCATGCTGCTACATTCCCCTGCCAGTGGATCTGGCCCCAGTGAGCCCTGGGCACCTGCTTGGCTCAAAGCCCTGTGATGGTGACGGCGGGGGTGGGGGTGTCAGAGAGGGTTCTGGGAAAGGCCAAGGAAACCAGCCTGCCCAACGGAATCAACTACTGTCTCCATTCCCCGTCTTCCTGTGGCACCTGCAGTTGGATCTACGGGGCAGTGGAAGGGTTCCTGTGGATGTGGCTAGCTGGTGCCACCTAAATGGCATCTGCCACTATGGGAAGTCTTCGCTTTCATTCTGGATGAAAGTTGAAGTGAGATCTTTATTCCTAAAAGAGATGTTTAATTCCCATCAAAGTGCACCACTGTACCAGGTGCTTCCTCAGATCATGTGGAATCGTAAAAATTCCATACGAGACTAACAAAAGTGACAGAAAGCGAAAATAAGTTTCACACTGTAACGGTCAGTATGACGACCTATCTCTATAAGTTAATACCAAAAATCACTGCATGGAACCAGAAACAGGCAAAAAAAATTGGAAAATTATTTGAAATGTTCAGTATTTATTTTGAAATTCTTTGTTGTAAAAGGTGTGTTAAGTATCCATTGTTGTGACAAAATTCTTGAGAAAATCAAATTGAAGGAAAAGATTTGTTCTGGTTCAGACTGTGTTGGGCTCGTCACTGTAGGTTCTTGACAAGGCAGAACATGGTGGGGAGTATGTGGTGGAGCAAGCTCCTGTCTCCTGGTGGCTGGGAGGGGGGACCAGGGAGTGGAAGGGCCTAGGGACACATCCCCTCCATAGGCACGCATCCCCCACCTCTTCTACCAAGCCCCCTCTCCCCTAGAGTTACCACTGTCTCCCAGTAGTCCCACAGCTGGGAAGAAGCCTTGGAGACATCAGACACAAACTACAACCAAAGGAAAGCATGTGTTTGAAAATTCAAATGAACATGGATATGTAGCAGAGGGTGAAATTTAATCCCCCTTACATACATTTATATATATATATAAAATATACACACACATATATACATATATATAACATACACCAATGTATATGTGTACATATATATACAAACATGTATGTATATTTACATACATAGACACAGTTATTTACACAGTGGGTTTTGTTTCATATTTAGACTGATTAGTGCATTTAGACTGATCTGTTTTTTTTACAGAATGTACACATTTATAATAATTTAATAATGAATATATAAATCTACTATAGCTTGGTTAAGTTGCCACTGGTCGGAACTTAGTTTGTTTCCAGTTTTTGTTATTTAAAATAGGCTGTAAGCCAGGCACAGTGGCACACACCAGTGCCAGCTGCTTGGGAGGCCAAGGCAGGAGGATGGCAAGTTCAAGGCCAGTGTGGGCAACTTAGTGAAACTCTGTGTCAATTTAAGGACTGGGAATGTAGCTCTGTGACAGAGCACTGGCCTAGCATGTGTGGAGGTCCTGGGTTCTATCACCAGTACCACCAAAACCATCTTTATATATTCTTGTGTATTTGTTCTAACATATTTGCAAGAAATGTCTAGAAATAGGATTGCTGAATCAATCGTCTTGTTTCAGAATATTGAAAGTTCTCTTCCAGTGGTTGTCTCATCAAGGGTGGGATTCTTCAACACTGCCATTAAAAGTATTTTTAAATCAGAAACTTATGGGTGAAAAAAAACCTATGCCATAAATGTAAATTTATATTATAATTTGTGGGGTGGCTGTGTATCCTTTCCTGTTTTTATTGTCCCTTTCTATTTCTCCTGGAAAGTCCTTCTCATGCCCTATTCCCGACTCTTTCTCAGGACCTCTTAATTACTGATGAGTTAAGGGGTTTCCACATCCAAAGTCCCAGCTGGCGGTGTCCTGCCCTCCCTGAGCATTGTCTTCTGAGTGTGCCAGCTCTTTGCAGTGTCAAACCACAGGAGCAGTTGTGTGTGTCAAGAGAGTGTTCTGATGCTGCAGATTTTTTGTTCCTGGGCAGGGGATCTGCAGTCTCTCCCCCCCCCCCCAGCCCCGTCTCTTTTGGTACCGGGGATTTAAACCCAGTCATGCTTAGCCATTGAGCCAAATCCCCAACCCTGTTTATTTTGGCAGATTCTCACTAAGTTGCTTAGGGTCTCGGTAAATTGTGGAGGCTAGCCTGGAACTTGTGATCCTCCTGTGTCAGCCTCCAGAGCCACTGGGATTATAGGCATATATCATGGCAGCCAGCACAATCTCCTTTTTAAAAAGAGATTTTTCAGTTTGGGTGCCATGAGCCTCTGTCTCCAATGCAGCACAATTGTTGCCATCATGGAGCAGCTGCAGATGAAGCCTTCATGGCGTAGAAGTGCTGCAGTGAACCAGACTTAGGAACATTCCAGATTGAACTTGGTATTGAAATGACTTGGAGTTTGACTCTTCTCTCGAGCTCTTTCCCCACTGGCTTTGACAATGTACCCAGCACTCTGAGGTCCTGGGCTGTGAGAGGAACTCGCGATGGGCTGGCTGGGCTCAGGCTGTGGTTTA